TTATAGATATTAGGATCTATATCTCTACGAATCCTTTGAACTGATGGCGCTATTCTTTGAGCCGATGACGGTATCTGGCCTAATGTGCCAAAATTGACCATTTGATTCTGAACTTGCCCCGTTGGCTGTTGCACATGCTGTTCTGACGATCCAGGATTATACTGTATCTAATTAGTAGTAGCACCCTAAACTTGCTCAGATGAGCTCTGAACCACCTGGACATCATCATTACTAGCTGGTGCTGCTTCTTGTTGGCTAGTACTGGCTTGATTAGTCCCCTAAGTCGATGGATATGGAATATTGTAATAAGCCGGTCTAACCTGATCAATTGGATATCCATGAAACACCTCCTTCATGGTGTTATGGAATGTGTTTAAGAAAACTTCATTATGATTCGTCATGGCATCATGAACAGACTTGTTTACAGCATCTACGAAGAAACGTCAGTCTTTAGCTTCATCTGCATCTGTCTGTCCACGCAATAGAACTCTTGTTAGTGGATATTTCTGAACAGTTTTCTTATCACGTGTCTTGGTGTAGGACAACAAACACTTGTTCTAAAATTCTTCTATAGCTTTGCTGATGACATCTTTATCTCCATCAGGTAGGTCTTCATAAGGCACCATAAGGATGTCATTATTGTTATAAGTCGCCATGACGATTATGGGGTCCCACCAGGTGTGCCAAAATGTGTGTCGGCACGAAAATATGCCGACACACAGCAAGCGGGAAGGATCTGCTTGATGGAGCTGGAGATCCACTTGGCTTCAATGCAGGGGTAACCGATCCTGCGAATTCCTCCCGAGACGTGCCACTCAATTTGACCCTGCAATTGATAAGGAGAGAAAGTTTATCAGTAATTTAAGGTGGAACATGCCGGTTTTTGCCCAGATAGTTCCAAGTGTGCCACTTCAGGAGCAGCCAGACGGAAAAATCGACTAAATAGCCGATACACACAGAAATCGGCTGTTACGGACAGTAAAGCTTATGGATCGCGATTGGTTTTATGTTGATAAATACAATGCCCGTAGATGTAAGTGAAATCATCAGCTAGGTGGATATTACCAGTGTGAATCATTGAGCCGATGAATCTAATCGAGAAAAGATATAACATGCAAACAAATCGACTGTCTAATACAAATAGATCTACAAACGCTCTGAATCGAATCTGTTATCATCAACAATGAAGTTCGACCGGATCGATGACAGCTATGATGATAATAACAAACTAAAACCTTAGAATCCGTAAAATCATCTATACTTCGATAGGCTTTCCGAAAGACATGCTATACATGAAGGATCAGGTGAATCGGCTAAAATAGCCGATTTGGATGAAAAAGGAACTATAGCGTGTGAACAATTGACTATTTCACGTGGACAAACCTATTGACTCATCGACCTAACCTAATATCTCTAATAAAGGGGTTCGAATCAATCGATGCGCAAATAGTGATAAAGACAACAAATAAAACCCTTAAAATACACGAGATCTATTTACGCTAATGTAAACATGTAGACACACTATATGCGTTAAAGCATAGGCGATCGGCTATTTAGCCGATATGAGACATAACAAACAGCTTAAGATCACGCCTAATCGAGAACAAATTTACTAACTAGCATCCTCCAATCTACAATGTCATTAGTGGGGATCAACCGGGATCATTACGTACCATAATACCAAACTATAAACCAGATTTAACTAACCAGCAAACCTCTTCAAGATTATACATGCCTTAATCGCGTACTATGCACAATCAAGATCGAAGTAAAAATAGCCGATAAAACATAACCCATCGCTTAAAGTAAGAAACATTGTGTTGTGACAAAAGCAAACAACAGACTAAAAGGATATAAGGTCGATCTAAATCGATTTTGACCGGGCAAATTGATATTGCTGCAAACTAATAACAATAAAAACATCAGCAAGATCGGTAACTTAATGAATCTATCTAAAGGACGTCACCCTTAGGTAGAGCCAATAACTTGACCTTAATCTAGTTCGAGCAATGGAGGTCGACCTGATCGATGCAGCCGTACTTGAACTAGACAAGAGTCGATAACTAGCTTATACTAGAGTTCACAGTGGAGGTCGACCGGATTGATACAGCCGTACAAACGGAAGTATAAGCCATAACGGTACTTATAGGTAAGCCAGAGGTCGACCAGACCGATGCAGCCCTGCTTGCTGAAGAACTCACCGAGATCTACTCTACTCCTACTCCTAAGGGTTGGTACAGAGCAGAAACAAGTAAATTGTATTTGATTAATTGAATGTCCTTTACAATAGCCGGAGTCCAGTATTTATATCCGGAACCTAAGCATGAATCCTACTTAAGTACGATTCACTATAATCTTTGGTATAAGAGAAAATATTCCTAATTTAAGATAATTTGGACCCTGATCTTTTTCTTTTTGTAGAGTCCGATATGTTTTTCCTGACGCTAGCCATAGCTTTTTGTCGCTATCTACTGGCGTCATCTAAAGAGAGCCAATTCTAGTGTTGCATTTGAATCAGCTGATATAGACTTTTATGCAATCGATTACTTGATGACACGATCTTTGGGAGCTTCGAATTTCTGCATTCCTCTTTCCAAATTTTGGTGTAAACAGTTGTCATGTCGGTGAAGTTGCTGACGCCGTAATTGTCGCCCTCATATTCAGCAGAGCCGTCATAGAGAAAACGATTCCACACTGCCTCGTCGTCGTTGCCGTCGTCGGAGAGGAGGATGAGATATATCCCCAATACTAAGAAACTTGATATGAAGAGACCATAAGCCTAGAGACTCGATCTATTAGAAAAACTTATTAAAGCGATGAATCCCCACTCCCTCCGGTCTCCAGCGAGATGTCGGAGGGGGAAGGGAGGGAATCCAGTGGTGGTGGAAGGCGAAGGCGGTGGCGATGCTAGGGCATCGCGAGCGAGAGGGGCGAGTCACGTGGCTGGGGCTCGTACATGCTCTTGAAATTTCCTGAGCTTAGGGCGTGTTTGGATGGCTACCACATCTCGCAATTGGAAAGGGAATTCTCGATGGAGCTGTTTTGTACTAAATTTTCCGTATTGCTAGTTATATGGAAAGAGTGATTTGTTAAGATCTGTTTGATTTAGCTGCGAGTTGTGGATAAGTTAATAATGTGAAATTTAAGCTATAGAAACACTGCTGTGAGCTATATGCTGTGAAAAAGTTGAAAGTTATTTGTTTAAAATCCTCTTTATTTCCTTGAAACAAATGCGAAACATCTCCATTTCCAGTTATTTGGAAAAAAACCAAAATCCAAAAGCAGAGTTAAAGTGCAAAAATATATATACCACATAAAGGAGTAGTTGCTTTTGAAGCAACAACTTTAAATTCCACCAATTTGGTTGGCTAAGCTCTTTTCGTCACCTATTTTTTTAAAACCAAGCAGCTCTATAAACTCCGCTTTTAGGAAAAAGGGTTCTCCACGATGGAAATTTGTGGAAGCAGTTCTAGCGAGATCCTGAATCAAGAGTAAAGTGCACCAGCGGTCCCTAAACTTGTACCGCTGTGTCATTCCGGTCTCTAAACTCAGAATCGACCGTTTAGGTCCTCAAACTTATTCATCTGTGTCATCTCGGTCCTTAATCTTGTTCGACTGTGTCATCTCGGTCCCTAAACTTGCAAATCAACCGTTTAGGTCCTCAAACTTGTTCAGTTGTGTCATCATCTCGGTCCCTAAACTTGGTTTTGAGTCTCATCTGAGTTAAAAAGCAGGTGATTTAAAAACTTTATATCAAAAATAATTCATTACTTTTTCATATGAACTCGAATGAAGACAAACTTTATATAAAATTGAAGCCCTCGACGCGATCTACGACTTTGTAGTTGAAAAGTTTTTGAATTAAAACTGTTTAGGGTCCCAAAATATTATTGTATGTTTATAGATTTTGAAATTTAAAATTTAAAATTAAATTTTGGGACACTAAATGAATTCAAACAATTGATATGGTCTATATGAAAGTTATAGTTCTCGATATGATGTACAACTTTGTAGTTGAATTTTTTTTGAAGTCATTTAGTGTCCCAAAATTTAATTTTAAATTTTAAAATTCAAAATCTATAAACATACAATAATATTTTAGGACCCTAAACAGTTTTAATTCAAAAACTTTTCAACTACAAAGTCGTAGATCGCGTCAAGGGCTTCAAATTTGATATAAAGTTTGTCTTCATTCGAGTTCATATGAAAAAGTTATGAATTATTTTTTAATATAAAGTTTTTAGATCACCCTGTTTTGACTCAGATGAGACTCAAAATCAAGTTTAGGGACCGGGATGACACAACTGAACAAATTTGAGGACCTAAACGGTAGATTTGCAAGTTTAGGGACCGAGATGACACAGCCGAACAAGGTTAAAGACCGAGATGACACAGATAAATAAGTTTAAGGATCTAAACAGTCGATTTATGAGTTTAGAGACCGGAATGACACAGCGGTATAAGTTTAGGACCGCTGATGCACTTTACTCCTGAATCAATACCGTGGTCCGTGGTGAGCAAAACATGGGCCTTGTTTAGATGCCAAAAAATTTGGCAAACTGCATTATAGTAGTTTTTGTTGTTATTTAGCAATTAGTGTCCAATCATAGTCTAATTAGGCATAAAAGATTCGTCTCGTGGATTTCGTCTAAACTGTGTAATTAGTTTTATTTTTTAATTATATTTAATGCTTCATACATACGTCTAAAAATTTGATGTGACGAGAAATCTTAAAAAATTTGGCAAAATTTTGGAGAACTAAACTGGCTCATGGTTCAATCTGCACTTCAACTCAAGCCCACAGCTTCCAACGGCGACCAACCTTGACCATCGATTTCTCACTCGACGGCGAGGATAACTGATCGCAGCCACCCTTCGTAACTCGCTAGTCACCTTACCCACTAGCTGATCGAACCTGTACCCGTGTCCCGGCTTCTTCCAGCCGCCGCCGCCGCGGTACTCGGAAACCCCAAACCCCAACGCGGCCGCCGTCGCTGGAGATGGCGGCGTACCTGAGCATGGGTGAGGCGCACCGCCGCATCGGCGACTACCTCTCTCGCGTGACCAACGCCATCTCCTACTCCGACGGCGCCGCGCTCGCCTCCCTCCTCTCCGTCTCCTCCGCGCCGGCCTCCACCCCGCTCTCCGACGCGCTCGCCGCCTTCCCGGACTTCCCGCGCCTCGCTGGAGACCGCTTCCCCCACCTTGCCGACTTCCTCGTCCCGTTGCTCCGCGCCATCCACTCCCACTCCATCCAGCGCTTCGCCGACGCCTACTCCTCGTTCGAGAAGGCCTCCAAGTTCGTTCCGCATCCTCCCGATTCGGTTCAATCTATTGGAGTTTTCGAGGATGTGACGTGTTTTTTGGTTGCAGCGCGTTCCTGCAGGAGTTTAGGAACTGGGAGACGCCGTGGGCGATGGAGGCGATGCACACGGTGGCGCTCGAGATCAGGCTAATCGCCGAGAAGGTGAGCGGAGGTGGCTGATCTGGGTTTGTAATTTTGTTGGTATTTTGGCTCATGTATTCTGGTTCGTTATCTTGCTGTAGGCAGATAGGGAGCTTGCTACGAATGGAAAGAACCCAGACAAGCTTCAGGCGGCTGGGTCATTCCTGATGAAGGTTTTCGGCACACTAGCGGTACATTATCTTCAAACGATTTGTTCAGTGTTCTTAATGATAATTTGGACTTTTGAGCATCAAATGAATTACCAGGACAGTTGTGAACTGCATTTGTTACTTCTTGTGCTAACCAGCTAAGCTTGAATAGCTGTTGGAATTATAAAGGATAAACTATCATTTGATGCAGTGTCTTACCATTTTCTGATTCATTAAATTATGAGGAATGGCATTGAGGGGGTTATTTTACATAGAAATCTTTCTGGACCAGCAAATATGCCCGTGTGTTGGAACGGAAAAAAAAATCCCCGTATGCCCCTATTCCAATAACAAACATGGTCCAGTATTTTTTTCTTTTATCGTGTACATGAAAAAACCACTTTAATCTTAGAGGAAAACCATCTATTTATGAAGAATCACATGGCAAGTCCAACTTACAAATAAATAATTGGTTGCCCGCACATTGCTATGGTAAAATATTAATTGCAATAGTTTGATCTCGCAGATTTTTTATTTCTGCCATTATAGTTTCCATTGCATTCAGCATATTATCTCTACACATATTTGCTAGAAATCATAGAATCTTAACTCACTATACTAGCGAACATGCTTGGCGTTGCAACAGGAATATAGCAGCATATAGCTCAAATAGTAAATATCCTTTAGACTTACTACTACCAGGATCAAAACATGCATAACATTAGGCAGGAATAAGAAAGAAGTGACTACTATCCATAGCCTATCTCAAAGAAGCCAAATGCACATGTCCCAACAATCATTTGTTAGCAACTTATTAGCATAGAGATAGAGATGGTATGGCATGGAGAGATAGATAGATAGAGATATTTACTTTTACCATAATTTGTGTTGTGATAGCTATTTTCTGCTTAATGTTTCAGGTGAAAGGACCTAAGCGTATTGGAGCACTCTATGTTTCCTGCCAGCTATTCAAAATTTACTTCAGGGTAGGATGATTTTCCTTGTAAAGTTTTGTTCTGGTATATGTAACTTTGTAATTGGGTTCTAATTGAACATAAGGTAATATATACAATAAGTGGAGGATATAAGTAGTAAGTGACTAAGTGTAGTATGTGCACTAGTGCATCTGTTCTGTATTTTTTTAAAGTTAACAAACGCTTGAAACTGATGAAGAAATTATGCAGCTTGGAACGGTAAACCTTTGCCGTAGCGTCATAAGAAGTATCGAAACTGCAAGGAATTTTGATTTTGAAGATTTTCCAGTGAAAGACAAGGTGATATGAACATAGTTTACAGACATGTTTCCCTCTCAGAGACTTAATCAGTTACGTTGACATTTTGTTGCCGCTTGTGATGTTACAGGTCACTTATATGTACTACACTGGGCGGTTGGAGGTGTTTAACGAGAACTTTCTTGTTGTAAGATCTGTCTCTCACACATGTGAACTTATTCATGGTTACAAACTACGATGATTTGAACAACAAAGCAGCAAAACTGCTTACACCAGATTTTGTTTAATTGGATCAGGCAGATCAGAAGCTAACTTATGCTTTGATGCATTGCAATCCTCAAAGCCAGTCAAATTTGAGGTACTTTTATTGCATGGAGTTTTCTGGCTTGTGGTTTGACAGACCTGGTTGTTTAGAGCTTAGACTCTAACTTGTGCTCCATTTTTTAGGAGGATTTTGAAGTTTCTTATCCCTGTAAAGCTTTCTATAGGTGTACTGCCAAAAAGGACTCTCCTGGAGCGGTACAATTTGCTTGAGGTATTTTACTCATACTTTGATTCTTAATTAAGCTGGAATAAGTTCGCATGCGATATATGCTGTAGAATTGAACCGTCCAACTTTTTTCAACCACAAAACCAAGCAAGCACTGTTTGCCTGATCATTTGTTTAGCCTGTTTAGACAGCATTTAAGCGCTATACGGTGGTACACTGTTTCTGTTTAATTGGCTGTTTTATCCTGTTTAAATGCCTGTTTTGTGAATTTAAATGTCTGCCAGTTCGAATAATGGCTAAACAGTAAGCGACCAACTGTTTAGTGTTGGAAAACACTGTGAGTGGGTTACTCTTCTGTAAGAGGTCGCTTGGCTGGGGCTCCTAGGGCTGGGGGGGGTGTTGGCAGCTATGGTGGAGGCGGCTAGGGTTTGGGGAGAGAGGAGAGGGAGGTGGCGCAGAGACAGAGAGGAGAGGGAGGCGCTGATTAGATTGATTACATCCTCCTTGTATATATAGTCCCTATTGGACTTGTATCCCAAGCAACTACGGGAAATCCTTATAGATTGGATTCTCCCTTCCATAACAACCCATACTCAAATATGGTAAACCTCCTAACCTAATCCCTTCCGGGACATGACAGCGGCGTGGGTGACGGCGCCCCCTCCTCCTGGCGTGCGCGGCCCTTCTAGGGCGCGCTGGAGCCGGCTGGCGCCCCTCCTTGGGCCTACGTAGGCCCGTTAGCTCTAGGTTGGAGGCCTCTCATTAGACGTATGACATCACTCCCCCCTTCTCTGATCAGCGCGTCCTCGCGCTGAAGTAGTGTCCAAGTGTTGACGCCGTCGGGTGGATATGCTTGTCCTGGAAGGCTGGCTTCAATGCCGACGAAGAGGCAGTGGGATAGGTTACCGATGTAGTCGTAGGAGTAGGTGTATGGCCTGATTGCTTCCTCCGCGGTCATTGTTATTTGACGGGCTGCCATAGCAAGTTGCGCCGGACCGCGGCATCGACGGCGAAGTGTTGCATCTCTTTCGGTGGCACCGTGAAGTTGTTGGAGTGGTTGGCGATGTCGGGAAGCAGGTAGGTGTTCACCCGTCGCCAGATGGTGGAGTTGGGGCGCAGTAGTTGCTGCGTTGTGGTCTGTCCCAAGATGGTGCCGAACATGAAGTAGCCCTTCTCGAACTCGTCAGGAGATAGCCGTTGTTGGTCGGAGTTGGGTCGGAGGCTGATGAAGATGTTGTCAACGCGGAAGATGTGCCGTCCCAAGCCGTCGATGAAGATTAACGTAGTGGAGGAGACTGCGCCCTGCAGCCATGGGCGACCCAGCGGAATGCCTGTGGGGGTGCCGTTTTGGTGGGGGGGCTGTTGGTGGTGAGTGGCTACCGAGAGCCAGGACGTCATATTATCGGGGCCACCCAATGATATGGCCGCAAGTAGATCCGGAAGGAGTGGCGATGCAGCGGGGATGTAGAGGCGCCCGTCGAAGAAGAGCAAGCCTTGGTCAATTGACCAGGCCGGTGCTGCCATCCCTTAGGTGATGGCGAGTGCGAGGTGGCGTAGCTCTCTCCGTTGAAGCACGGCCCGACGTAGATTGTCGAAGACCGGCGCGCTGGTGCCGATGTTGTCGAGGGTGTCGGAACGTCGGGACTGACTTGCCCGGTTTGTGATGTCGCGGGGTGGTGACGATGGTGCTTGTAGTCGGGGTAGCGCTAGTTGTTCCTGTGGTGCCCTGGTGATGGGTGGCAGTGCCGGGAGAGCGAGAACGGTCGCCGGTGCGCGTCGGGGTTGTACGGCGGTGAAGGAGATGGAGCGCCCGTTGCGGTAGTACTGAAGCTCCATGGTGCAGAAGTCCCATGTGAAGCGTTCGAGGTCCGCCAACCATGGCGTGCCAAGGGTGACGTCGACGTCGTTGCTGATGTCAAGGGGGAAGGCATTGACCTGGAAGCTTGCCTCATCAATGCGGAGTGGCATGCTGAAGGCTCCCGCTCGATACGAGATCTCGTGGCCACTGCCAACGAGAACGGTGGTGTTGATGCGCTGCTCGAGGAGGCTGATAGCTCGTTCGACGTTGATGTTGATGACGTTGTTTGTAGCGCCCGTCTCAACCAATACGTGGACGCCGGTGCCCCATATCGCCCTGCAAGAAACATGGGAGGGGAGCTGCGAACCGCAGACTGAGTAGTACCGATCATCATGAGTGGGCTGTTGTCGATGTCCTTGGTGTCGTAGTCGTTGACGGCCGTGATGTCGAAGAGGTTCTTGCATTTGTGGTCGCGTTCCATCATCTCCGTGGGGGTGAGGCGTTTGAGCGGGCGTGGTAGATGTGTTGGTGGCGCGCCTGGTGTCGTTGTCGTTGTCGGAGCCAAGGGGGTCCCTACCGAAGGCAGTTTTGGATCCGCTATTGGTGCAGGAGTGTCGGGGCGAGCGATGAGCTCGCCAAACTTCTTCATCCACTTGTTGGTGATGTCGCGGATGTCGGGGATCTTCTTGGGGCGTGGATACTCGTCATTGCGGCGAGCTTCGTTGTCCCCAATCTTAGCGGCGAGGACGCTGTGGAGATGGCCGGCGGCAGCGCGGCTGGCTGCATCTTCGCTGCGAGGTGCAGCAGGCAGCGAGGGCGCGGCGGCGTCGGGCAGCAGCGGGCTGCTGCTGTTGGCGGTGGTGGCAGCCCCGAAGTTGGTGATCGGGACATACCCGTTGTTGGGTTTCTTGGCGGGGATCTCGTGCTTGGTCTCAGCTTGAAGGTTGGCTGCGTGCTTGCTCGATGGCGTGTAGGTGCTTGTCCAGTTTGACGATCTCGTCGTTGAGGTTCTGGAGCAGCTGTTGCGCGTTGGTGGTGGTGGAAGCCATGGATCGTCTGGTCTCTGGATACCAGTGTAAGAGGTCGCTATTGGGGCTGCTAGGGCTGGGGAGGCAGCTAGGGTTTGGGGAGAGGAGAGGAGGTGGGGTGAGAGACAGAGAGGAGAGGGAGGCGCTGGGAGAGGGAGGGAGTCGGCAGGGAGAGAGGGAGAGGTAGGGGAAGGGGTAATTGTTCTTCTATTGCTTGATTAGATTGATTACATCCTCCTTGTATATATAGTCCCTATTGGACTTGTATCCCAAGCAACTACGGGAGATCCTTATAGATTGGATTCTCCCTTCCATAACAACCCATACTCTAATATGGTAAACCTCCTAACCTAATCCCTTCCGGGACATGACGGCGGCGTGGGTGACGGCGCCCCCTCCTGGCGCTCGCGGCCCTTCTAGGGCGCGCTGGAGCCGGCTGGCGCCCCTCCTTGGGCCTCCCTAGGCCCGTTAGCTCTAGGTTGGGGGCCTCTCATTAGACGTATGACATCTTCACAAGTTACTTAAGTAACATCTTAATCACAAATTGTTTTGTTACATCTGAAGAAATTTACATGTGACAACCTATCAAGTTTGTTTGCTTCATGTTGATGTATCATATTGATTTTACAACAGTTATAGATAGGATAATTTGGTGAGGATTGTGAAAATTCATTTATACATGACAAATAGTTTAGCCACATATTGGTTAGTAGTTACAGTTTTGAAGAAATCTAAATTTGTTGTTTCTTTGAGAAAGTTTACAAGTATCTGAAGGGTACACCTTTTCTTATTAAATTTACCCCAACTTTTATGTGGGAGTATTTGAAAGAAGGGATGTGAACCTTTAAGCCCTCTGAGAGTGGAACCTGCTACATGCATTAGGAACAGCCCTTCTCCCATCTACCGTTGTCACCAGTGTTCTACATACTGGTCTACCAGCTGTATACTTGGTTCTAGACAAGCATCAGGTGTCCCTATGATACCCAAAGTATGCTGTGTAACAACTACTAGGTGGGTTGACCTGTCTGAGTACTAGTTAATGATTTTTAGAACCTACTCACTCTGTAGGTCCTTAGTCCTGACTGATTTTATTCACAGCACTATCTATTCATCATCAATCAAAGACAAGCCTTTCTCTTTTCCCTTAGTTGCCACAGTGATGATTGTGCTAGTTTTAAAAACATAACCAGGTCTGTTATCGACTTCAGAGATAAACATGCCAAGTTACGGAAGGGAACACACACTGTTTTAGTTTGACATCAAGCTGATTGTTTTGCTTAGTGACTGCTATTTTGAATTCCCTTACTGATCTGCTGGTCGCCTAATTAACAGCTACTACTGTTCTAGTTGATCTCTGCTTGCAAGTTTGTTTGATGGAAAAGCTTCGTAGTTGTTACTTTTGCTAAAATATGCCTTTCCATTGTAGGTCTTATTTGGTTTTGTGAACATCTTTGCCTCGTTTTTAATAATGCTATAGTTACTTGTATATGGTGGTCTCCCCTGTTTTTTAGTAGTTATTAAGATTGCACAAGTGGTAATATAACCTTTCAGTATGCAGATGTTGTGACTGCACTAAAGAGAGGAGATCTCAGGCTTCTCAGGCAAGCTCTAGACAAGCATGAAGACCAGTAAGTTGATCTGTTCCTCTCTAAAAATAGTTCCATTCCGTTAGCCATCTCTGATAGCTTATTGTTTTGCAAGATTTTTGAAATCTGGCGTCTACCTTGTATTGGAGAAACTTGAACTTAAAGTCTATCAGAGATTAGTTAAGAAAATGTGAGCACAGAACTGAACCCGTCATTGTCGTACTTTACATTCTATTGTGACTGAACTATTTTTGCCCTGCGATTCGTTCACAGCCATATCATTCAGAGGCAGAAGGAACCAGCCAAGGCACATCAAATTAAGCTAGATGTTGTCGTAAGAGCTCTGAAATGGCTTGAAATCGACATGGATGTGGATGAGGTGCTTTGAGAGTACAATAGTTTATGTTATCTTTTGCATCTTATGTTTCTAATGACGTTTTTAACATAGTTTGTCACCTTGCTATCAGGTGGAGTGCATCATGGCATGCCTCATATACAAGAATCTTATAAAAGGTTACTTTGCTCACAAGAGTAAGGTCCTTGTCCTCAGCAAACAAGACCCCTTCCCCAAGTTGAACGGGAAGCCTGTTTAAACACAATTGTTACTGAGAATCCTGTAATCCGTTGAAGTTTTTTTTGTTCCGTATACAGAGATGGTTAACATTATTAACTGAAACGCCTGCCTGACAAGGACATTTGTATCAATGTACCATTATTGCCTTAATGGCCTTCATTTTCTGTACGCTATGTTTATCTATGATGTTGCAAGGTGTGCTGGGTCGTTTTTTTTCCCGATCATGTTTAGAAGAGAATTTTTTGTCCGGTAGCCAGATCAGCAAAATGACTTGTCAAATTGTGATCTGGCTTAGAAATGTACATGGATTCATACGTGCGTTTGTTTCCATTTCAGTCTGGCATTTCAGGATAGTGCTGTTACAATCAAAATCTCAGGATCTTCTGCAGTGCATTGCAGAGGTTCTGTACTTGCAAAAATATGTAAAGAAATTATCACATAAGGAGTACTGTGAGGAAAAAGGGGAAATACAGTACGTAGCATCAGCAACAATGAGTTTATTTTTACAAGAAAAAAATGTGTTTTTTACAAGGAAAAAGGAAACTACGTCTGTTATGGCATTGTGCAGCATTGGTACATCCAAAAGCCTCTGCACGATGCAGTTGGTTACCGCTGTACGAACGTCGGTACGTCGTACGTGCACGAGCTGTGTTAGCCTGTCACCCAAATTCTCGCTCGGTACACCTCGGGTACTCTACGCCCATGCGACGTACACAAATACATTCATTGGCCATCGCGCATCTACCGTGGCCGCCACTAGTACGTAGTACTACAAAATACACTAGCAGCCGCCGTGCGAATGAATGGATGATGATGAATTCACCCGAGAACAAACAAACAAAAAAAAGAGCCGTGCAAGAAACTGGGACGCCATCCGCCATGAATTTAGGTGGACCACGAGAACGTGGTACAAGATCATGATGCTAAGATTGGCTGTAAAAATCCTGATGGAGCTATAACCATCTGGGATGATGTTCCTCATGGGTTGGAGGTTTTGGTGTCCGGCTATTTGGCCGAGACTGATGAGTAATGGAAAGCCTTTACATTTCAAAAAAAAAAAAGTGATCATGATGCTAAGCAAGTTTATGAACAACCGTGACTGAGACCGCGTAATGGGAAGTACTGTAGTAACTGTAACAGGATGCATTAGCTATAGCTGCATGATCGGATCTCATCAGATGCCGGATATGATTGGAGCTCTAATTGTCCTACTCCTACCCAAGGTACTCTGTGTAGTTTTGTAACCTGTCCTTGTTATGCGGTAAATTGCGAGGGCAAAAGTTGTACTCCAAAAAGAAGGAAATGTAGGAAGATCCAGTGATTTATATTTAATTTGCAAGATCTAGCTAGCACTAGCAGCACAGCAAAGCAAAGAGCAACACAGGAAATTACAAAGCTTTTCGAAAAGCAGATGAAGTTGATAGACCCATAGACCATAGATAGAACAAATCTGATTTAGAAAAAGGAGGAGGAGAAGAAAAAAAGCAACCAAACTGGAAAGGCATCAGAGTCTTTGTGCGGTCTGTTCAACGTGCATGACGTGCCGCGCTATGCTGGTTGCTGGCTGTCATTTTGTCAATTCAGACAACTTAGCTTGGATGGATGGATGGACAATATAATTCCTCCGATGTTCATGCTTCCTACACAGCTTCATTAGCTAGCATGGCCCCGGTTAAGCTCCTTAAACATCAACGATATATTGCCCTGTTCGCTTGACTGATAAGTCATGACTGGAAGTATTGTTGGCTGATTTGTTGTGAGAGAAAAATACCGTTCATTGGCTGAAAAAGTACGGCTTATAAGTCAAGCGAACAGAGCGACAGTAGTGCTGTGTCCTTTCTTGATCCAACAAAAAAACAGCTCTAGTAAACAAATTATCTGAAACAAAACAGCCAGGACATGTATATTCTTTCGCATAAAGAATGCAACTGTCAAATTGATATAGAAAAAAAAACGGGAATACTATTTCACCCCGACCATTTTTCAGTCACGACCTTTTCGGTATCTGTTTATTTATATAGGTCAACTTTTTATTTCTTAAATTCCCGTCAGTCTTGAAGTATATTGTATTCAAAGCGCTGTAATCCGATCCAGTAGCCGCGCGGATACAAAAGACGAGCACATTGCTAAAGACGAAGCCAACTTGTAACTATCAAAAGCCTCTTTTTAACTTGGCACATGGTTTACAGGAAGTGTTCCGCTGGTATTAAAGTCGGCTGAAGCTGTTTTGTTGTGAGAGAAAATTACTATAGATTTTAGCTGATAAGCCGGCTGATAAGTTCAAACGAACAGGCCTTGCACGTTCCGCTTCCCATCCATCACAAAGAGAATATACCATCAGCTACGTACATGTACACAATTACTTTCTTAATCAGGAGACACGCGTCCTTCACATCTTTACACCAGATGTTTCCTGCCCAAGTTTACTTGTGTATTCTTCGTACATTCCCCCCATCACGTACATGTAACATCACCTTTCCCCAGCGTCCACACAAAAAAGTTGTTGTTTACTCGTGCATTGCCCCTCATGAGTATGGTCGTTTATTGTGAAAGTGAAACCACCATAATAACAAGGCGCATGATTAAAGCCTTGTAAATTGATATGGACACCAATATGGATGAAGATAAACCTACAGAGGATAAGGAGGCTGAAAACATGGACGAAGATGGCAAAAAGTTTGAGGATCCATCGACTGATCAGGCACCTGGTCAGCTGCCAGCTTGTCCAGATGCGTCAGGTGGACAGCACGAGGCTGCTCGTGATGCTGTCTAGCGAGACATAGAGGGTGACGCCGGTTCTAATTCAGGAGTAGTGAAGTCCAGTAAGAAACCAGTGGTAGTACTTACTCCAAGTGGGGTGACATCGGATGGGTCCGCACTATGGAAGGCTGATCTAATGCCTACCCAGATTAACTCTGGCCTCCTCAGTAAGACTCAAGTTCATAATGGTGGGACAGTTTCGCTAGTGAGAGCTAGTGAAAGGAATATGACAACTTCGGAGCAAGACTCGTTGGAGAAGGCAACAAAGTTTGAAAGCTCGCAGAAATTTAGATTCTTCTTCAGGCAAAGGTAAAGGATCTCAACCCCTCTCTTTTAATATTCTTGATGACTCTGATTTTTTAGCTAGAACTAATTCGTTAGGGGTTATTCTTGGTAATAATGAACAAGAAGTTTCGTATTCTTTAAATACTTTTAGAGATTTAGAATTTCATAGACTGAATGAGGTTGACCAGTTAATTGCTGGTAACACAAGTAACTTGGATGATGCTTCGACAGTTTGTTCTTTAGAAGATAACTTGGATTTAGAAGCTTTGAATTTTATCTGTTCTGAAATCTCTGAAGGCCTAGGTGATGGGGCTGTGACCCGTTGTGTCTACAGACCCCTGTATCACTAAAAACAAAGGCACGCTCTAAGAATAGGAAAAAAAGTTAAAAAGCAGTTTAAATGAAAGGAATTTTTTGGAATTGCAACGGTTTTGCTGATACTAAGAAGTATAGATTTTTTATCTAACCTAACAAAAGAAAAGAACTTAGATTTTATTGCCTTATCGGAAACCGGTAGAGCCAGTTTCCTGCAATCCACTTTGAATAATATTTGCGCTGGTAGAGATTTTCTTTGGCATTGCATGGCTCCACAGGGTCGGTCGGTGGCATGCTTCTAGGAATAAACCTGGTAATTTTCGATATTGGCGAAATTGAGGAAGGGGACTTTTTTATTCATTTCAAGATGCGACACAAGGAGGATGATTTTAAGTTTAACTTGATTTCAGTTTATGGGTCAACTCAATTGGTTCAGAAATCAAATTTCTTGTCTGAACTAGTGCGAATATGTTAAAAAGAAACCTTACCTATTGTTATAGGTGGCGATTTTAACATTATTCGTAGACCTGACGGGAAAAATAATGACATTTATAATGACAGATGGCTTTTTCTGTTTAATGCGGTAATTGATACACTGAACCTCGGAGAAATAGAAATGTCGGTAGAAAGTTTACTTGGGCTAATCATCTACAAAATCGCACTTTCAAAAATTAGATAGAATTCTGTTTTGTACAGATTTTGAGTCCAAAGACCCGCATACCACTCTGTATATGTATTGTCTAGAGAGATATCTGATCACACTCAACTGTTATGGAGCACAAATAATCCATCTTCGTCTTACTAGCCCCAATTTAAATTTGAATTGGGATGGTTGTCATGGGACGAATTCTCGTGACATGGTACGAGATGTGTGGCACAGTGTGCTTGTTGAAGGCACTCCTTTAGAGAGGTGGCAAGGATCAGAAGGTTACGCCAATACCTCGTGAGGGTGGGCTAAAAATGTAAGTGGTGCTTATAAGAAAAAAAAACATATATTACTAAATAAACTCGACGAGTTGGATAAAAAGGCAGAAATTTCTCTCGCTTGAGGAAAGCGAAAATAAATTTAAAACATGTTTTAAATGAAAGGCTAGCTGAATTATTTCGAGAGGAGGAACTTAAATGGTACCAAAGGGCTAAGGTGAAACATTTGGTGGAGGGAGATGCAAATACAAAATACTATCATCTGTTGGCAAATGGTAGACACCGAAAAACTCGTATTTTCCATTTGGAAGATGGGAACAATATAATCAGTGGTGATGCTCAGCTCAAAAAACATATTACCAAATATTATAAGAATATGTTTGGTCCATAGGAAATTTCTCCTATATTTCTTGATGAGTTACAAATTGAGGACATTCCTCAGGTCTCTGTACTGGAAAATGAGTACTTGATAGATGATTTTTTTGGAATCTGAGGTGAGGGCTGCAATTTTCCAAATGGAACACAACAAGGCATCTGGCCCGGATGACTTTCCACCAGAGTTTTATCAGGTCTTCTGGAATATAATAAAAGTTGATCTGATGGCTCTGATCAAGGAATTTCATCAGGGAAATTTGCCTCTACAAAGCTTAAACTTTGGAACCATAATCTTATTACCAAAAAAGAAGGACGCGAAAGTGATTCAGCAATACAGACCAATCTGTTTGTTGAATGTCT